GAAACATGCAGCCAAAGTGGTGAAGAAACGGTGAAGAGGAAACAATGAGGAGATGTTGGAGCGGCCCAGCCAGAGTCCAGACCTGAATCCATCCAGAACCTGTGGAGGAGCTGAAGAGCAGAGTGATGGAGAGGAAGCCTTCAAGCTGCTGGAGCTGCTGATGGACACTTGGAGGAACCAAATCCCAGAAACATGAGAACAACTGTTGGATTTATTTAGTCAATTTCAGACATGGATTTAGGCAAAAATGTAAAAGAAAAAAAGAATTGAAAAAAGTCGAATTCATCATGAACATCTCTCACAACGTCTTACTGTCTTGTCTCGTGCTTGTGTCGTTTCCAGCCAGAACAAAGCTGTCGGTCAAATAAAAATTCTCCAGCAATCAAAGTTTGTTGGTGATGAATAATTTGGGATCCTAATCGTGGCTTTACTGTGCGTTAACTCATCCTCACCAGCTCGGTGCACCAGCCGATCACCAGAGCCCTCTGCACCACGTCCTGAGTCAGCTCAGCAGGTGGAAGAAGCTCCCGCAGTGAGCCAATCACAGACAGGCCTCGGTTCCTCTTGCCTCCGGGTGCATTGTACTCCAAAACCTAAAGACAACGACGTGACATGATTTTGTTAGCAACGGGGAACCACGACAAGTTAATGACCTCTGGCTGGTGTTTAGTGCGTTAGCTGTAAATAAAGTACATTAAAGGACGCTGTAGGGGTCAGTTCATGCTTTGTGTATACATGTGAGCGACCAAGTTGAGGAGAACGTGGATGCAGTTGTGTTCAAACTATAAAAGCACATCATAGCACTGGGTTCCTGGAGAATTTAGAGCTTCCCACCGTGTCTGGGCTCTGCTGTTAGAAAGCATGCACAAGTTTCTGCAATGAATACTGCAATTATGTTTCTGTTAATGATGAATTATATAAACCAGAATGCATTGCAGGGAGGCTCACGTGGACAATTAATGGGAGGCACTGAGGAACCGTGCACTCAGCAGCTCTGAGCAGATTCGCACCTGATAACGAGCCCGTTAACAGAGAGTGCAGGGCTTCTCAGGGAAAACACTACAAGATCTGAGGAGAGGCCTCTTCTCCAGGTAAGAACATAGTCCCACACACACCTGTCGGAGCCTGCCCAGGGCGTCCGCCACCGCCGGGTCCGCCAGGTCTCTCTCCGTCAGCTCCGTCAGCAGCTCCTCGAACTGGGCTTCGAACAGCTGCGGGTCCGACAGCAGCGCCTTATTGCTGAGCGTCCCGTTGCAGATCCGGTCCGCCTGGAGGGACGAGGAGCACAGCAGCACCGAGGGGTGCGTTAGCCGGAGCGGGGACACGGGGAGCCGCATGCCCCAGACCTTTCTACAGACCAAAGCCAGGAGGCGTCTCATCCCCAACCGACCGTGAACTAGCGGGGAGGGGGTCAAAGCTGCTGCTCTCTACCGGCAGCTGCTTATAACTGATGCTACAAACTTGTTCCGGTTGAGGAGAACCGGCAGAACATTCGGATCCATTAAGTCCACTGAGCTCAGAGCGGATTAGAGTCACCGTTATTAGCGTAAACACTTCCCTGTCAAGGAGAGGAGCGTTAGCTGACGGTAGCTTACATCGTTTACCTGCTTCTTGTCAGTTAGCTAAACTAGCTTTAACAAAACAAATAAAAACCTGATTTTGTTCAAACTCAAACTTCCACATACCATAATGACAACGTCCTCTTATCCCAAACTGCTCGGTTTAATACAGAAAAACTGCCGCCTTTCTGAATTTTCCTCTTGATGCCGAACAAAAGTCTGCGAACGTCTCCTTAAACCAGGATATGCGGATTGTAGTTCGTCGCCCCGCCGCCGTCAGTTTTAATACACGGCAGACGAACTAAACATCCCAGCATTCCTTGCGAACGGCTTCGTGTGGGCGTGGATTTAGAAGGCTCCATTTGACATCGAGCGTTGTCATTGGCTGCTTGTATCGAACCAGGATGGGCTTTCACGCCTGGTAGCCAATAGGAAGTGAGGAGAGGCGGGGCTTCGGTGGAGTGGCGAGATACAACAGTTGGATGAATGGACGCGACTGTAAAGCTGATAATTGTAGATGTTAGGGAGTAGAAAAGATTAAAATAGCGGAGGTGGAGCCAAACGGTGGTCCCACACGTCTGTGTGTAATTTTATAGGGCGTAAACCTTACCTAATAACCTAAATTAGTGAGGTAATTTGTCGGAGTGTGCAAAATTACATGGTCATAACCTTAATATTTATATTAGTCAAGCTTTATTTTTGACATAATTAAAAATACCACGGGGTCTTAAAATTAATATTTAAACTTGTTAGGTAAATTAGCAACACCAGTTTAAAGTAATTTGAAGTGGCTTGTAGTTGCCTCTTTTGTTTTACTTTATGCCTTCTGGGTATCCTGTATGTACACACCTTTTTAAAAAATGCAATATAAGTGCATTCATAATAATAATAATAATAATAATAATGATGATAATAATGTAGAACAGTGCATGGGACAATGCATTGGCATTTAAAAACAATAATAATAATAAAATCTGGACTTGCGTTGCATTCACATTCGCCGCTCAGTTGATCATTCCCTGTTTGTAACATTACAGTATTTATGCATTTTAGCAAACAACAAAAAGTCCTGAACATATGTAAATCCGAATTTTGATTGAAAATACAAACAAATCTGCAAACATGCACTCATAACCACAACAGTGAGCAGCCAGCAGCCGACAGATAAATATATTCCTGCACCTCATTTGTGCACATTTTTGTGAACGCTTTAGTTTATATGCCACAAATTTCACTGTGAACTGTTGGTGAATCTCTCTGGAAAGTCTGCTGATAGGTGCACTCAGAGGAAGGAATTTTGCATCAGAGCCTTCATCTACTCAGTGATGGTGCTGTGAAGAAGACCCTCCACCGAGGCTCTCAGTTGGAAACAGCTAATGAGAGCCTGTTTCAGGTTGGTGAAAGGATGCAGAAACATTACATAAGGTGAAGGCGGATGCCAGTGGTGCAGGTGAAAGTGCTGCGTTGCTCCAGATGGAGTTGAGTGTGATGTGAGTTTCTTCTCCAGAAACTTGTACCACATTGTTATTCTGTAAAGGAGACTTTTTCTCTCATGTGGGCTTTCCAACAAGTTTTTGTTAACTCAGGTGTGCCTCTGGTGGCCTTCGTAGATCATAACCCTCTGACCTTTTTAAACTTACTGCATTGTCCAAACCACAGATTGATGCGTTGCTTTTTCTTTGTCTTCTCTTGGTGGCTGATGTTTTGTCCAGAGCACCTGCATTGTGGATTTCTTCTTATTTCTCCATGTGTTGTCTTCCTGAGTCTCTTTTTGGTTTCTTCTCCAACACTCTTTCTGGAGATCGGTGGGTTGGACTGGGATGGATCAGCCAGGACTGGTGAGTATGACGGACACTGGTTATAACAGAAGTAGCCAACTGTAAGAAATGGTAAGTAAGGATGTTTGAATAAGTTCGGTACTCATATTTGGTGACCATTTACAGGGTTAGTGTTTTGAATTGTGTGATTCTGTGCTGTCTGGGATTCCTAATGGGGAATGGTTGAAGACTCTTAAAGACTGGAGGGATGAAACCTACTTTGAAGAGTTCTGGAAACAAATTGCTCAAGAATTTCTTAACAAAATCGCCAGAAAACTCTTTAAATGTGTCCAAGATGAGTCAAAAGCGGTTGCCAATGACTCAGAAGTTTCCAAAATGACACATTTGTCCAAAATTAGTCAAAATGCCCAAAAACCTGCAGCCAAAAACAAGAAACTGAAGAGCTCTGTGAGCGTCCTAAACAGAACAAGGACAATTCGGACAAAAGAGTCGTATTATATTATGTAATTTAAATTTTAATAATCAGATAAAACTTTTTCAACTGTTCTAGATTTTTAAGTTTCATCAAAAAAAGCTTATAACGCTCCATATGAGTTCTAATTTACCTGTACATGGTGCAAACGATCAAAACATGAGTGTTTGATGTGCAGATTTGTTGAAAACATTAAAGCGGCATCGTGTCACCCCCCATAAAAAGACAGTGTTTGTCCTTCATAAGATGCACACAACATCAGCGTGTTTCCATTTTGAGTTTGTCATTTATTTCATTTGTTGAAATACATAACTTGCATTGAAAGTTTTTGCTATTGACACTGCGTCTTTAAAATCTGGAATAGGTGTCATATTTAGATACATTTATTATTCAGGTTTCAAGGCTCTATCCTGCTCAGCCTGCCATACAGATATACATTTCTTCAAATAAATAACGTTTTATGCAAGACAGGAGGTAGAAACACAGCTCAGTGCCTTCGTAGGGGGGAGTGTCGGCCTGTTTCAGTCCGCAGGCTGCAGAGTGCATGTGTGTAGATCTTTTTTAAAATTACCTACGTACGTGTGAGTGTATCCAAAATGTGCCTTCGCTGATTACAACCCGGAAAAGTCTCTCTAAAGAAAACCAATCTCATACAAATATATTAATACACTCTGAGACTCCAGAGCTGCCGGACCCGTTGGACACGCAGCCCGACCGCATAATAAAATCTTCTGTACATCTACTGCATGTAACCGTGCACTTTAAACCTCTTTATCTTACAAGATCGGGCCGCTTCAGCCGGCATCACGGATGTGCTCTTGAAACCAAATCAAATTAGGATGCAGAGGCCGTGTTTGGGAGCCATCTGGCAGGACAAAAAAGAACAGAAAAAACTTTTGGGAGCACTGCACATCTTGTGTCCCTGACCTTTTTTTCCCTTCAGCTTAAACATTTCAAATGGCTACTATCATAGGGCTCGGGGTGCAAGAGGAGAAAAAGAAGCATTGTCAAAACATGCAGATAAAGACATTCGGAGGACGTGTTACTTAGTTACACAGACGGTCAGGAGCTAATGCACAAGGTTCCTGCTTTATCGCGGCAAAAAACATGCACAAATTAAACCGCCGTGTCCAGGGGCGGCGGCGGTGGCGGCGGCGGGGAGGAAAGCCGCCCACAGAGAGTACATTTCAAAGACTGTGGCGTGCAGTGATGTCGGTGTTAGAAATGCTGGCTGCCTTCGAGTCGAAAGCCGTCGTGTGGGTGGAAAAAGTGAAAAGAAAAGTACAAAATTAGCAACTCAACAGAGGTTTGTTTTTCTTCACGTGGGAGCGTTCGTCCGCGTCGGTTTATCTTACACCGCTTCTCGGCTGAATATATGATTATTGAGATGCAATTTTTTTTTTCTTCTTTTATCAATGGAAGACAAAATAACCCACGATCACCTCACGTGAGCGATCCTGAGGATGAGTTAGCGAATGTACAAAGGGGCCAGAAGCATATTGCAACCCATAGCTGACTGAATGTACATGGAAGTCGTTGTTGTTGTAGCGGCGAATGATGCGGCAGAAAAGATGCTTCTGGTGGGTCGGTTCTGGTAGAAGAGTTAAGCATCAAGCCACCGGTGGAATCAGACGGAGCTCCAGGCTGATGTTCGGATGATAAAGAGCACCACTAAATAAGGCCGTTCGCTCTGTTGGCTTCAGGAAAAGGAGGCGGAGAGGACTTTCCAAACTCTCAAAACCGGATGTTCCCGCCTAAATCCCGACAACCCCGCCTCCTGTTTCCCGCCTCCTCACAGCGCAGACTCCGAATAGAGCGCTCCGGACGAACCGTGCGGCGGATGAGGCGTCACCAGGCGGCGCAGCGAGGAGGAGGAGCTTAAATCCCCGCAACTGCGCAGGTGGATGCCCTCTGGCGAGCGGCTGCCGTGGTGCCGATTGTGTCGGCTGTCGCTGTGGGAGTGGTGATGCCCGCGGTGGTGGGGGTGGTGGTTGGCGTGACCTCGGCCGGTGCTCCAGGTGGCCCGCAACACCTGGGGAGAATGTTAATGAATGTTTATTTCTTGTACAACGCGACACACTGGAGGTAAATGAAGCAGCTCGTCATACCTGTTCCAAGGGTAGATGGTTGGCGCCGGCGCTCTCGGTTCCACTCCTCCTCTTGGGTCCTTGTCCTGGACTCCCAGCGTGTTCGGAGGAAGGCGACAGGTTGCGTTTGGAGCGCTGCAGGAAGCGAGCCACCAGAACCCGAGTAACCTGAAGGAAGAGAAATCAGGGAACAAGAAGACGGTAAAATGTACACCCATAACATATAAGAGAAGTGAGTATACCACTGTGCAATATCACCTGAATGTCAAATGAGTCAACAGAGTGTCACCTTGCAGTAATCAGATTACTTCTACGTTGAGCAGTAGAGTATTTGCTTTGGTGTAAAATTTAAAACTAACCGTTTGGATTTACTACAGAAGCCCCATAGTAGGAAGTGATGCAACACATGTCCGTCGACCTTTCATTACTAAGATTTAAATCACTTATTTTGTTAATATTGAACCTCCTCAGCATGGAGGAAACCAAATTTCTGACTATTTTTTTCAGCTCATCTTTACTGGTGGGTTGTGTTGCTCTGCCTTTCTACTTAAAATACCCCTAACAGGTTGTTGGATTCAAATCAGGTGACATACTTGTCCAGGTCTTAGTTTCCACTTCATTCTTTAGAAACTCTCATGTGGTTTTGTTCTCTGGATGGTTCTCCTGCTGGAATATTCCTCTTCTTCCAGCTTCTACAGACTGGGAGTCATCTTGTCAGCCAGTGTTCTGGTTTATCCTCAGACATTCATCTATAAATGTCATCAACACCTTTTGCCCTCATGCAGCCCCATATCATGATGCTGCCACCTCCGTGCTTCACTGTCAGGACGATGCATCCACTGTGGTGGTCCTGGTCAGGTTCACACCAAACATCTGGACTCCATCTGAGCCCAACACATTGATCTCCATCTGACCAGAGAATGTTCTCCATCATCCGTCAGGTTTCTGTTCATGTTCTGCAGCAAACTTTGACGTGGAAGTTTAGTTGTGAGCAGCAGCCAGGTTTAGTTCTGGTCATCCGTCCATAGAGGCTGATGTTCTGAAGTGTCTGAGCTTCACACTAACTCTGGTCTCCATTGATAACTCCTGTACCAAGTCTGAAGCAGCTGCCTTTGTCTGGTGTTCACAGCTCCATAGTGAAAGTAGTTGACTGTCTGTGGAGTCATTGTAGGAGGACGACCACTGCAGCCCTGATCAGAGCTACTATGGCTCCTTCTAGACCTCCTGGTTACTGCTCACACTGGGCTTCACTGGTTTTTAGTTGATCTTCTGGATCCTTTTCCATCTTTGTGAAGTCTGACAGTCAGATTTTTCAGCTCCTTTGTTCAGTTTTTCCATGTGGAGCTATGATGCAGACATAGACTCAGTCCATAGGTCCAGAACTGAGAAGGTTCTGCTGTTCTCAGCTCATTTTAGAACCATGTTCATGCAGTTAGACTGATTGGAAATCACAGCTGGACTCACTGTAGTTGCATTAAGTTTCTACTTTGGGGTCTGAATTTTCAACAGTCTTTGTTACGTGTTTGAGAAGATAATCTACCGTTCAGCGTAGAAATACTGCAGTTCTTGAGCGGTGAGACTATAATGAAGCATGTGAGTGATACCACGCAGGCTTGTACAGCTTTTTCTGACGTACCTTCAGGTCTCCGAGCGAGCGGTGGCAGTCTTTAGGTAAACGTAGCGGCGAGGACGGGACCGGCTTGGAGGGAACCTGGACTCCTGTGGCTGCAGACTTCATGCTGCCTTTCGTAGGCAAAGCTGAGGCGGGAGGCAAAGAGGTTTGGGGCAGCAGACAGGCCTCGGAGGACGGACCTGTTGGTCAGAAGAAGGATTTTCACATTTTACTCTGAAAACACTGGAGAAGGGAGGGTTACAGAGTCCCTGAAGTTTTACGTTTAAAAATGCAAATGAGGTGTTATCTCATTAATTTCCAGAGACAGGTTCAAAATACCGTCAGCAGCCTGGAAAAATCAATTTTCTCCATGTTGTTAGGAATGAAATATCCTATAAATCTGCTTTTAAATAATATGCAAACAAACTCCTCGGTGAAGCCCTTCAGGAATAAAAGGTTTTGTGGATGTAAGAGCTGCTGAGGTGCAGATTTATGCTCAGAGTAGAAATAAAACAAACTAATTCCACACATTTTTATTAGAAACTGCAGTTTTCAGGTAAAAATCACAGGAAATCTCCCCGACTGATTCCTTTTGTTTATTTTGAACTTTTTCTCTCCATTTGTTTGAGAGATGACGTGTTTTTAAAGCAGAATATCCCTCAAAATTAACCAGTGAATGACAAACTGAGCAGTGTTTCACCTCAGACTATATGTTTTAGATGTTTCTACAGATTTTTACCACCATCCACCACCACTGGGTTTATAATGTAGTACCTCAGGGCAACAGATGTGTTTATAAAGAAATACAGAGAAGGTTTGGGAGTTTGTTTCCTGCTGCTTTGGAGTCATTTTTGATAATATTGTGGTTTTAGTTTCAGTTTGAACAACACAACCAATGAATCTAAACCTACCTGTGTCTATAGAAGCTTTACTGCCTCCGGAGCCAAAGTCAACTGCACAACAGACGATAAAGGAACATGTTAGTAAATGACACTGATGTGAGAGGCGTCTTCATGCAGGTGTGGGACTCACCTGTGTCGGTGGAGGACCCGAGGCCCGGCTCGCTGTGCGACCTCACCAGGCGTAGGAACCCGTCGCTGTCCACCTTCACGTTCTCTCCGTCCTTGTCGTTCCTTCCCGCCCTCCGCCGAAGGTACAGCGGCTGACGAGGAAGCTGCTCGCCGCCGGCCAGGGAGGCCAAAACCGGGGGGACGGAGGAGGCTCCCTGGCCAGACGGGGTGGAGGGTCGGACACGGATCTCCGGGATGAAGCTCTGCTGAGGAGACGTGGAGCTTCCTATCGCCTCCAGCTGGGAGCAGCTGCTGGCCAACATGGCCTGGCGACGCAGGACCGGAGACCTGGAGGTCGGACGGGAGAGCGGAGAGTAAGAAACCTCAAGTTTCTGTAGATTCACTAAAGTGCAGAAATGATCACGTCCAGGTTATGTTTGGAATTTGTGAGGATGTAGAGCCCTTTATCTGGTTAAAAACTATTCACATGGTGTTCTGTGGATTATCCAGACTAAGAGCGGCTGTTTCTGGATGAAGCTGTTGCAGCTGAAATTTCCAAATATATGTTTTGTATGTTCATTTTCTGTGAATTTTATTTATGTGAATGAAGCAATATTTTGGATTATTTCAAAGAATAAAAATTCCACAAAAACACCTTAAATGCACAGACTTGTACCCACATACACTGCAGTGGCGGACCAATATATATTTATTATTTTTAATAGATATTATGATTGTCTGCATTTAATGGATGGTTCAGGAAACATGGACAGTCTTGCTGCATGCCCTGAAATATACGGATCAACTGAAGAATCTGCAGCAGCTTACAGACCGACTGTAGTAAACATTATGCTTTCATTATTAATTCAGTGATTAGATGCTCGCAGTGATGCGACAGCTGCAGATATAATTGCATTTTAGCAGCAGAACTAAAAAACTCCCTCCAATAATCTGCTTTCTTCAGCAAAAACTACTTTTAGCTCAAAATAATACAAAACAAATCCATTCAGCTGCTTGGAAAACAACTAAAACTCTCATTTGTGATGCTTCACCGTCGGACTGCTTCTCTAGAACCCTTGTTGTCTGTGACAGCGCCACCTAGTGACATGGTCGACTCAGGGATCAGCTGCCCAGGTGAACTCTGATGATGTCACCTGTCTGGTCTCACCTGTAGGTGGTGGTGGCCGTGCTGGGCGACGAGCAGGAGTTGGACCTCTCTCCTCGAATGAACCTCCGGGCTCTCGGGCCTCCGGCCAGCGGACTCTCCGGCGTTTGGCCTCTGAAGCTGAAGTAGTCCCCTCCGTCTCCTCCGTCTCCCCCCTCGGTGCTCCGGCTGCCTCCCCCGTGGGGCCTCAGGCCGACCTCCATCAGACACGAGTCCTCGGACGGGGACGAGTCGTCGGGGATGTCTACGATCTCAGACATCAGCAGAGAGCCGCTGTCCATGGACACTGAAAAAGGGGAAAATAAAAGTTTTAGTTTAAGTCTGAAAGCATTTCTGTACTAGTTTCTCCGTCTCCATAAAACACAGCAAGGATTAATTATCCTAATGAATGTTCCAATTATGATTAATGTCATATTACAGATCTACTTATTGCAATGTTACTAAATGATTTTAATACTGTACATATGAATATCCGCATATTTCCTTTGTTAAACTGAGTTTGAAACTACTTTTATTATTAAGAATTATAATGATAGTTTACACAATTTGTACATACACACAAATTTGCATGTTAACTTAAAAAGTAAATAAATAAAATCAGGCCAAAACTGTAAATAATGCCCACATCAAAAATGTGAATTGTTTTTACAAAAAGTAATTCATTCTTTTATATATGTTGCTCCTAAAGTTATTCTTATTTACTGTATTTAAACTAACAAAATCCTAATTATATTATATTTGCTGTATTTTGAAAAAAAAAACAAAAAAACCCCAAAACAAAACAGTGTATAATTATTGTTATATTTTAACCAATATTTTACAGATTTCTCCTGATTTGTTTTTGTATTAATTTACATATTGACCGTGCAAGACTACAGTTTGTCCACATCAGAAAGCTGTATTTTTACAAACAGTAAGTTGTTGTTTTACAATGTGTGAATGTAAAATTATGTTGTTTGTTGTATTTAAATCATTAATTTTTTGGGGGGAAAAATTACGAATATTTGCTGTTATTTAAAAAAAAAAATGTCTAAGTATAGATATTATTATAATTAAATAAATAAATTTAAAAAACATTAGTTTACATGTTAAGCGTATAAAAAAAGCCCAAACAAAATAACTATTTTTGCTTTATTTAAATCAGCACAAATATTACTATTTTACAGATATTTGCAATTATTTAAAAAAAAAAAAAAAGATGTTACATATCAAGGATCAAAAATTTTGTTAATTCACCTGATATTTTTTTGCAAATTTTTTCTTCTTTCCTTAAATTACACATAATCTCAATAATATTTAAGAAAAAAGTGGCTAAAGCTTTCCATAACATTAAAAATCTGTATTTTTTTTATATATTAATTTGTCCTTTTACAACGTGTGACTGTAAAATCAGAGCTTCACTGTATTTAGGTCATGAAAATATTATTATTTTCCCAATATTTGCTGTTGTCTTTACAGTTTTTGAATGTTACAGCATTCCCTCTGTTTTTTTTTTTTTTTTAAGCAGATTCTTTTTGGCAACTTGCAGCCAGATATCCACTGTTTTTATTCTGATTGATGCGTGTGTAAAATGCCGTGTTCGTAGTTTCTCACTACAGTTTCGACTAATAAAACAAAACAAACCAGATCATCGTCACACCTGAGCTCAAGTGAATGTTCATCATAAGCAGCTGTAAAATGTCTCCAGAATAACTTCCAGTAAAACTCTCAGCAACAACTCAAGACGTTTTCATACCTTCTCCGCTGAAGGCTGTAGAAGTCCCTCTCTCTCCAGACAGCTCGGTGCCGTGAGGGTCGAACACCGTCGCCTTCAAAAACACACAAACATCGTCGTGTTTCACTCACAGCATCACACACAAACACATGAAGGTCAAAGCAGAAACCATTCACATATAAGCAATTTATGTTTCACCAGAAGGCTTCTTCTGGCTGGAAATCACAGAAACATGCAACAAAACGCTGTCAAACAATGTCTTACGAGATGTTAAAGATGAATTTTATTTGCTTCTATGTTGTTGTTTTCTTCACGATTTCACTAAGATGTCCCGTCCAATATTATTCATACCCTTCAAATTGTCACAAATGTGCACTGAATGAATCTCTTTTTAGCTAAAACCCACATTTCTGCAGTTTAACCGAGGTCATAGCATCACATTAACAAGATTTCCATCAAGATGTTATATTATTTAACAATCTATTTGATTTATTTCAGTGTTTTGAGGTGTTTTTGACAAACTTAACGTGCCTCAAATTATTCATAGCCTCGTAAAATTAAGATTTATATTTCACCAACTGGTTGATTTGGGCTGGAAATGGCAGAAAGTGGTGGCGAAGGCAGCAAAAAATAATGAGCTAGAGATGTTGTGGTTGTTTTTTTTTTGTTTGTTTTTTTTCTTACTAAAAATGCAATGCCCAGAATTATTCATACCCCTGACATTTTTGAGAAAATGCCTCATTTACACCCCTAACACAACGCCTCACTGACTTCTGTTGTCATTTCCAGCCAGAAGAAGCCTGTTGATGACATAAAAATTCACTATAAACCTAAATTTGGCATGGAGATGAGTCATCTGGGGATTAATTGGCACATGTTTGCACGTTTGCTCACCTGGCTGGCAGCTCGTTTCCCCATCACAGCTTCGTACGGAGGAGGGCAGTCGGTCGGGTAGAGAGGAACGGGACTCTCCATGGAGCCGTTATACGTGATGCTGGATGCAGAAATGCCATTATTATTATTATTATCATACAGTGTGTACTCGGATCAGGTAAGCTCAGAGCCACACAGGTGATGATAAAACATATTAAATGTCTGGTCGGTACCTCTGAGCGTCGGTCTCGGAGCTGCAGGTGTATTCTGGAGGATAGTACGGAGGCGGAGGGATGGGCGGCACAAACTCCTCAAAGTCCATGATGTTGGTGAGGAAGGCGTCCTGAGGAGTGGTGCATTCTGGGTTGACGGAGCGAGAGCGATGCGGCGCCAGCTGGGTGGAAGCAGATGGAGATCAAACAGCAAATAGACTGTGGGAGATCCCTTAACCCTCCGACCAACAAAACCCACGAGGGAGTGTTATATTTAAAAAGAAATCGTTAAAATCACACCGTTTGTCAGAGCCAGAAACCGTAAAAAATTAATAAATTGTTGTTTTTTTAAATGTTAGGATGCTTCTTAAACAGATCATCTGTGACGTGTGGTTCTGTCAGGTAAAAGAACCAAATCTAAATCGTCATATTTAAAAATCTTGTTTTAAAAAAATGTGCCAAAAATACACCGTAAACACATTCTGTCAAAAACATAAAATTCTGAGCTCCACAGCACAAACAAAACCCTACGATTGACTCAGCTGCAAGAAACAGTCATGCGGAGAAAATTCAGAGAGTTTTCATGTGAATTGGACCGAACCGCAGGCTGTGTTTACACAGAGCAGCAGAGACACGTCTGGAAACTAATTAAAAATGTAAGCAGTTAAATATTTATACATGCATATAGGCTAGAGTCGCCATTTTCCAGTGTCGGTAACATCTGTGGATGCTAGAAGAAAGATTGAACGTGTTGATACCAGTTTTTTTTCCATTTTTGCAAAAATAAATAATCAACGAAATTCGACTTTTTTGGTCCTTTTTCATGGCTTATGCTATGCTAACTGTGTCATCCTGCACAGAAGACATTTCTGAGTTCTCTCTCCTTCTAGTCGTGATTGTTCTGTTTCCATAGAGGTGCAGGACTTTATGTTGGAGTGAAAAATGAGCCCACAGTGAGTAAAAACGTCACAGGAGTGTAAAAAACGCCTCTAACTCCTCACAGAGCAGCTCTGTAAAGGGACGACTGTCATCTTGTTTCCTTCTGTTTTTACCTTTTAAAATATTTTGTGCAGCCTTTAATTTAGAGGTATTTTGTTTTCATGGTATTTAAGAGTTAGATGTCTATATGTGGCGATAAAAGAATAAAACACTCAGCCTCAGTGAGGAAAAATGTCACGGAAGCAAAAAAAAACAACCCCAGAATCTCCTGATCTGTGACGGCAGCAGAACGCGGCCGATTTGCAGAGTAGTTGTAATTGCAAAGAAAAGCCAGGCGCTTAAATGTGCTGCGTGTGTCTCTCACCAGGTGCACCAGGTCCAGGGAGAATATGTGGATGCTGCAGGTCACGGTGGACAGCGTACAAATGATGGTGGAGAGAATGCTGAGGCCACATGCGCTGAACAAAAGGTCCTGCAGGGGAGGAACACGCGTGCAGTGAGAATCTAAATCCTGCTGCAGCGTTTTTTTTGTATTTTTAGTTGCTAAATTCTGGCTCTGCGCACCTTGAGCTGATGCCGCACCGAGTGGCAGTCGGCGTTCAGGTAGAGGACCAGGGTCTCCTCCTCGGTGATGGAGCAGGGGTGAGTCGGCGCGCAGCAAACGCACAAACCGTTCTCCACCTGCACACAGTCAAACACAGCTTGGTGTTGCACTGACAACGTTCGCGGCGCGTCCGGCTGGAAGGACATTGGAGGCGAGGCTAGCGTACCTGGCAGGTGAGCATGGACTTGACCATCTGGGCGTTCTGACAGGAGAGCATGGAGCCGGCCAGGCTGAGGATCACACACACCGCTGACAGCAGCATGAACAGGGACACCTGTGGAGGGAAACAGAAAAGGAGTTTTTAATTCGCATCCACAGTTTACAGATAAAAAAAAAACTGCAGCAGGAGATTTTTTACTGTTTAGACGCATTTACCAAGAGACAAGAAAATAATCAGTACACGAGGCTGTTTTAGTCCAAGGATGGATCCTTTTATTTTATATTAGGAAGTGTCAAATCTAAATATATATAGAAAATAATAAAAAAAATATAATAATTTTTTTTAAATTAATAAATATGTAAAATCTAAAAATATAAATATAAATTATAAAACAATTATATAAGTATACATTGAAAAAATTAACAAATATGAAAAAAATTCAAATAAAAAAATAGATGTAAATAAAACAGAAATAAATAAAAAATATACAAGATTTTAAATAAAGATATATAAAGTTTTCCACAGACAACATGTGAATTCTTTAAAGTGATTTTACTAGTTATTATCAATACGTTTGGATTTTTTTAACTTTTAAATAAAAGCAAATACTTGAAAGTCAATTTGATTGTTGTTCCTTTAAATACAGTAAAAAAATAAAAATAAAAATTCAATTTTAGGGTAAAGCAGTTTAAAAGAACAAATTACTTTTTGGAAAATTATTATTTTTTTAAATGACGTGGACATTATTTATTATTTCTATATTTACTCTCCACTACCAACCCAGCGAGCCTGGCCAACGCTACCTACAAGTTCTAATAACGTTTGAAAGAAAACATTTAAATCTGATGTCCACAATTTATTCAAATAATGTTCCCATAAGGGTCGAAAGGGAACTATGATGGAACGTTTTAACAATCTGAGGATGTCAGAAGAATGTCCTTAAACTCACGTTCAAAAAATGTTTCCAAGATGTTAGAAGACAGAACGTGTTTCATAAAAATGTAAATTGAGATTTTAAATAAGGTGGAACATCCATCCATCATCTCTACACCTTCATCCTCACTAGGGTCATGGGGGGCTGGAGTCTATCCCAGCTGACTTAGGGTGAAGGCAGGTTCACCTGGACAGGTCACCAGTCTATCACAGGGTTACACTTAGAGACAGACAACCAAGCACACTCACATTCACACCTATGGACAATTTAGAATCACCAAATAACCTCAACATGTTTCTGGACTGTGGGAGGAAGCTGGAGAACCCGGAGAGAACCCACGCTGCACGGGGAGAACATGGTAACTCCACGCTGAAAGATCCTGGGTGTCCTCACCGGGATGTGAACCGGTGACCTTCTTGCTGCGAGGCGACAATGCTAACCACCGAGCCACCTTGCAGCCCAAGTTGGAACAGTTAAACTATTTTATCCTCAATATTCTGAGGACGTTGTGGGGATGTTGCTGTTGAGAACATTAATCTTTTCCCACAAACGTTACGTGATAACAAACGCTGCATCTCCTTGGAGCTCCTTTATCCACAGACTACAATTTACTGATGTTCCCTGAACGCAACAGTTTGTGCAGAAGGTCCGTGTGTCCCGGGACTCATTCCAGTACATCTGTGATTGGACCAGAGACGTCCTGGCAAAAAACAACACAAATCACCACTTGTGTGTCCCATTCATTCATCGGGCTCGGTGGTCACGATGACTCCGGCCCCTGCCCCTGACGTACTGCTGCTTAGCTGGTGCTTAGCTCTGGCCCAGCAAAGAGTTGCTGCTCGCTAAACACCAGTTTTGAGAGCCTGGGGCCGGTGCTTAGGTGGTGGAAACACAAAAAACTGGTGCCAAGTCAGGCACTTAGCACGGCACTAGCACTGGAACCGGTTTGGTGGAACAGGGGTAACAGAGGAGCTTCTGGTCTCTGCTCAGCTGAGACTCGACGTTACTCTGAAGGGAGTGAAATGAAATGTTCTAATGTCCGATTTACTTCAGCTACAGCCAAGTGATTCTGTTTTCTAAGAGCGGAGACGTTTAAACATCATGTTAAACGAAAACGTCGCGTGTTTGCAACCTAACAGGCATTGTTTCCTCCAGGTTCTCGCTCATTTTACCGTGCACGTGTTGAGTATTAAAAAGAAACTCCGAGAAGCCTTGAATCAGAGTAAACGATGTTCTATCAGACGGACGGCGAGCAAAAAAGAGACCAACGTCTGTTTGTATTGAACAACATAAAAGCTGCGATGAGTTCAAATATCGACGCTAAAATGATTTCTTGTGCAGCGCTAAGTGATATATTCACAACACAAGTCATCCCAGAGCACTCCACATGGTGAAATAAAGACTTTACAATGATATACTTTAGAGGGAAACCCAACAAATCCAAAGAATCCCCTTCGTATAGCGGGTTCTGGCAGAACCAGGCTCAGGGAGGGCAGACGTCCTCGACTGGGTTCACCTTCAAAGTCTTTAACTTTTAAACCTACAACATTTTAGCATCAGTTTTTAAACCTGCATTTACGAAAAGTCCTTTAAGGTCTCAGACTAATGTGGACTTTTGTTCCATTTAGGGAAACTCTGCCAAGCTCCTCCCATGTACGGATTGTAATCGCGATACGAGTCACAATTTTCTATTTTCTGAAACAAACACCAGAACGATGACGTGACTTTTGCTACAGTTTGCACCAAACGTGTTCCTTTACACATGCAGAGAAAATGATTTGTCTCTGCGGCGCCATGATGCTTCATTTAAATGACATTTTTATCACAAAATCGCAGCTCCTCCACTCTCAGAAACAGAAGAACCTCGAGGAACCGTTTGGGTTTCCTTTGCTACTGTAGAGGAACCGTTTGAGTTCCCTTCAGAGAGATTCCACTTCGAACCCATTATTCTTCTTCATAACGTAACAAAAATAAGTCCTGTAGATGTTTTAGGTAAAACGGAGACCAGAGAGATTCACTGGGACCCAAATCTGTTGACAAAAAGATCAGAATTTGGCCAAAACCAGTCTCTAAAACGTGCATTCAGTTACATCTCCAATGTTCTTCAGAGGATTTAATGCTAAGAAATAGAACCTTAGAAGTTTTATTGGTATGTTTTCTGGTTCAGGGATGAAAGAATTTGTTTATATTGGACTAAAATAAAGGATTATGATGTGATCTTGGTGTGTCTCTACTATAAAATGAACCAAACCCAACCTGTCATATTAACATGTTGACATTTGTAATGAACAGAAAGCACAAGACAAACAAACCAACATGTAGACAGAGGCGTAATGAGCCGGTTCTCCAGGAACTCTCAAAGGTTCTACCAGGAAAACCAGCTTCCTTTGTGTTCCTTGAGGTTCTCCTGACTCTGTTTTGATCGTATCTGGATCCTCTGTGGAGCTACACTCTCACGGTTCTGTAGGTTACGTACCACCAGCGTCAGAGGTCTCCTCCATGAGATGATCCCAACGATCCCTGAAGCCACCACCTGGAAACACACAGAACCAACGGAACCAGTCAGAACTTCTGCTCTGACGTTCTCTGGGTTCTAGGATTTCTGTTGGGATTACACTCACGAAGAAGCCGGCCCAGAACGGACAGGACTGCCTGACCCGGGCCGAGGAGGTGAAGGCCATGCTGGTGAAGGAGAAGGCCAGGACCATAGCCCCCAGGCCCAGGTGGCACAGGCCCAGGTAGAGGAGCAGCCGGGCGCCGCCGGGCCCCCGGCCGGACATCCCCCTCCGGCTGTCCGACCAGCCGCGGGACCCCGAGGCTGAGGCCACGCTGCTGGAGTCTGAAGGTGAAGGCATGGCGGCTGGCTGGAGGAGCTTTAAACTGGGGTCATAAAACGGGCCGAGCCGAGCTTCACTCTGTCACTATTATGCACCAAAGCGGCCGCTGGCAGGTGCAGGAGGCGCTGCGCAGCGTCCCACCATGCTGCGCACTACGGCCGGGCACAGTCCAAGAACTTTGTCAGCAGAAAGTTGAGAATCGAGCAGCCACCTCACAGTCACAGCTCCGTACTCACCTCGTTGGACGCCTCGGCCATGAGACTCACATGTACAGGGAACAGGCTGTGCCGTCCTCCTGCTCGCTCATCCTCTCGTTTAAACGCACCGGGGGGGAGAAAAATAAAAGATAAAGATCTTCACATTATTGCCGCACTCGCTGGCTCTCCGCTCTGCTCTCCGTCTCCTGCCTCCCTCCTCTCGCCCGTGGCATTGCGGTAACCGGAGAGGCGAGCAGGCCGCAGCAGCTCGTGAAGCATCCCAGAGAAGAGCGGCTCGTTGTTTCCCTCCAGCTGGGCCCACATGTGGCGGTCGGTCGGTCCGTCGGTCCGTGCGTAAAGTCAGGAGCGGCGTCCGACCTTCTGCCACGTCCCGAGAAGAAAAGAGGAACGCAGCGGGAAGAAGAAGAAGAAGAAGCAGCAGAAGCAGCAGCTCGACATGAGGAGGAAACAAATATCGCTCATCGATTTTCAAACTGCACCAAAAATAGCAGCCAGGCGGGGCGAAGGCTTCCTCACCGGGTTCTATCTTTGGCTGCTCGCTCGGGGGTTTTGCGGTGGTCCTCACGCACCTTCACCTCCCTCCTCCTCCTCCCCCTCCTCCTCCCCCGCCGCTTCTTTCCTCCCTGCAGTCACGCGGGCATCCCGTTCAGCCCGTATGTGTGTGTGCGTGCGTGCGTGCGTGTGTGTGTGTGTATGTACCGGACGTTTACCTCACCGCCTCCCACCACACGTCACATGAACGCGGCAGCAGCATCGCCTGCCTACATGTGTCCGCGATAAATCCATCCGAGTCCGTCCCGAGTTCTGCTCCCGTGTTCCTCAGACGGACGGACGGAGTGCGCGAACCAGAACCTGCCCTGCGTGATGACAAGGCACGCAGGACGTGCAGGCGGCACGGGGATGCGGCAGAGAGCGCGCACACGGCGGCGGCGGCGGAGGAGGTGGAGGTGGTGCTGATGCTGGGAGGGAGGGGTGGTTGCCTAGCGACAGGCTCCGGCTCCCGCTGCTGCAGCATCGATTTTTAAAAAAACTAAACGGGAGCAGCAGCTGCATGGGCAGGAGAGAAGTTAAACATTAGCAAGCAGGAGGTTCGGTTGGAGGGAGGGGAAGGTCCCGGAGGTGACTGGTCGGTTTAACCGGCAGAACAGGGACCGTTTGCTGAGCACACACCAGGAACACCGTTAAAAAAAAAAGGAAAATAATAACAGTAACAAAAAAAAGGTAAAAGTACAAAACATTCCTGTTTTGTTGAATTACTTATGAAAACCTGTTAAAAAATTCAAGTAAAAAACAAAACAAAACAAACTTTATTAATATTTATATATTTACTTTGCTATCTGTAATTTTACAAAACTGGAAAAATCTGTAAAATAATAGTTTAAAAAAATATATTTTTAAATCCTTAATAGAATCATCATTTTTTTTCTTAGATATTGGCAAACATCTGTCAAAAATATATATATATTTGGCTGATTTAGTTTTAGTTATTTTGTTCTTTGTTTGTTTTTTATTGTAATTTTACAGTTTTACAGAAAAAAAAACACAAGTTTTTGTAAAATATGGATTTTTTTTTATGTGGACTATATTTACAATTTTGGCCTTTTTTCCAGTCAGTGTGCAAATTAATACTGTTTTGTGATTTGAAAAGTATTCCTGTAATTTAACGAAACAGGAAAAATCTAAAACAAGATGCACATATATACAAAAATCCTTTTCATACCTTAAGTTACCATTTTTTCTTCTTAAATGGTAATGGGAAAAATCTGTAAAATATTTCTATTTTTCATTTTTTTGCTGATTTAAATTTTAAATTAGTACATTTATAATGAATCAATGAATGGATAATACATTTTTAATTCAGTAAGTTTACAGTCAAACACAAAAGAACAAATCACCTTTTAAAAGAAGCTTTATTAAAACATCTAAATGACATGTCAATTATTTTCTATTTTCTGTGATTTTACTGATTTTAGTCATAATTTAGAAAAACAGGAAAAATCTGTAACATAAAGTAATATGTTAAATATTATACATATATATTTTCTTTCAAATAACTCCAAATATTTGTTTAGTGATTCTATTTCTTTGCTGTTTAATTAAGTTAAAAAAAATAAAATAGTGTCATTTTATTTTTTTGTAAAAACACAGTTTTTGATGTGGACATTATTTACAGTGTTGGCCTGTTTTTTTTGGTGTTCTTTGTAACAAAAAATTAAAAGTCAAAAAGTAAATTCCTACTTTTTTTCCTGTGATTTAAGAGATATTGTTTGTGATTCAACAAAATAGGAAAAATCTGTAAAATAACTGTAATTTGTTCCCCAAAAAATGACTGAATGAATGATTTTCTTTTTGTGTGTATCAAACATTCATTGTGACTGTGGGAGGAGAAAAAACAACAACATTTAAATATAAATGAAACTCACCAAAAGTCAGTGAATGAGTACGTCACGGTCAGTTTAAACTTTTCTAAAATCACGACACAGACACTGCGTTTACGGTTCAGCATTTATATTCATCAAGCAGGTCTGTAAACTACATACACAGTCCAGGAGTGCTGCAGGTCTACATGGAGGTGACAGAAACTCAACAGAGAGCAGACTCAGTGTTTCTGTGCAGGTAAAAACAAAACAGAAAGCAAACACCTGTAATCACTGAAACCCGTCGGCTGGCTGCAGCTGAGTAAAAGATTCACAGGCATTCGGATAAAAGGGACTAAATCAATGGAAGCCGAGCGACACGCAGCTTCCTGTCCATCCACTCGCCTTCGTTCATGCCTCCACTCATCTTCTCATATTGCACTTATCTCTGTTGCCGTCTTCCACTTTCTCGATCCACCCGTCTGTTAAAACCAAAGGCCGGCCGTGTTTGGCTCGACTGCGTCCATCAGCTCTCATCTCGCTCATTAACGTGAAGAGCTTTGTTTTCTCGGCGTTCCTCGGGGGGGATAAACGTTTAAAGACTAATGCTCGCTCTTATATATTCACGTGACACTGAAAAACAAACGCCGCTGCTTCTGCCTTGTGATGGAACATTACACAAGTCAGTGACCTCACAACGCTGGTCAAAGCTCAACAAACACGCCTGATAATTATCACAAACATGTTCAGCGTCTCCTCGGAGCTTCAGTAAAGAGCAGCTGGACATCTCTTTTAGCTTCCTGAGGATGTTTTCACCAATAATCCAAGAAGCTTTATGGATTAAAACTACTGATAATAACTGAATTAGTTCAGAAATAATAGAAATTTTTACAGATATTAGCCGTCGTCGACAAAAAAACGTATATTAAAGACTAAAAACTGTTCAATAAATTTTAAATTTTTCCAGGTTTTACCATTTTTCACAGTTTTTTTAAAACTTATTTTGAGTTGCACTGTTTCGTTTTTTTACAGTGTAAAACAGCTACACCAGAAAATGAAAGTGTTTAACTATAAATTCAAAAAAATCAATTAAGTGTTATTTCTAAGACGCTTCTTGGATTAAATTACAGATAATAACTTGTAAAATTGCTGAAGAAAGTGTTATTTTACAGTTTGATAGTAAAAAACAAAACAAAACAAACTTTATTAATAT